TGACGAGGAGTAAGGGAGTTAGTGGCGGTTACGAAGACAACAATTGTTCTGTTCATATAAAGTCAATCTACAAGATTAACATCGCCAACTGCTTAGGTTTTAGTTCAATTCTGTTTTGTCTCATTATACAATAACTTTGAATTGTGGTAATAAAATATCAATAATTAGTACTGGTGAGGCATTATAAGTTCTTCATTAAATAGAGAGATACACTGTTACTTGGCATCCATAATTCCCAATGAATTAAGAATTCTTGTCAATAGTAAGTAATACTGCTACCGCGTCTACTACTATGGTTAGCCAATTTTTTGTCCATATTGAGGGATACGTCTCTGCATTTTACTTGAATGATTGGAAGTCTTTAAAACTAGATTGCGACATTTGTTTTCCTCAACTCGACACCGAGTATTCTGAAAACTGTTTGGGAAGCGGTTTGCGATTAGGTCTTCCAATCGTATTTTATTATCACCGTCAATATTTACAATATCAATTTATCGTTTTTATATACAGTCAATATCGGCGATGTATATAGGAATTTCTCTGTACCGACCGCACTGATTCTTGCGCACCGTTCGTTTCATATGAAAATTCTTTGTTTATACCAGGGTCTCTTATAAACCTTACACAGAGAGCTATGCCAACCCGTCCGGTACAACAAGTTTCACTGTATAACTATAATCTTTGTTGTTGGTTTTTTCTTCGAAACAGGAATGCTCTTTTAATTTTTACTCAATCTTTAAGAGAGCATTGGATAATTGCAGTTTGACAGGGAAGCCTTAGTTCATATCTGTAATATTAAATGCAGAAATTCCATGCTTTTGTTTATATCCGTTTTATTTAATCCACTATGCGTATCGTTAATTACATGGTCGTTTTGACGGGGGATGTTCTCAATATTAGTTCTAAACGTGGTCTTGCTTGCACGCTCGCGTCAATTAAGGCGTAGCTAAAATTTGCAGGCGGCTCTATTACCAAGGTATAAACTCTCACTAAAATGTTGTGCTAAACTATCTAATAAATATATTGCACGACTATTCTTTCCTTAACTACAGCGAGATATTAATCTAACTTTCCGTAAGCTGGCATATTCGGCTTAATTTAGCTATTTGCTCAACGCACTCGAGTTTATAAAGTAGGTGGGCGCAATTTTTGGACCCTGTCACGAACTATTATTCTGTGAAACCAGAGCGCATAACTATCCCTCCAGAATAAGAACTAATAACCTATGAATCCCATTCGCTACTCATTGTCTATGACGGGAAACTTTCCCACGCATAATACAATTTCTTCGAGTCGAATTCGTCTGGGCTGTCCCATTGCTACTCGTTAGCTGACGATCTTTTGCATTCAGTTCTTCCAGGACGACTGGAGTATGTTCCAAGCAGACCATTCAATGTCGTGGTTGATAATGAGTCCATTCTCGTCTACCTCGGGAGTATTTGGTCGGTGTTCGGGATTGGCTGCTCCGTCAGTTGCATCAGCACTCGGAAGGACACTGGTTGGAACATCCTTGTATCGATTCGCTGTTGGTTATTAACTGGTCTTTATATTCCCAGGTGACCGAACGTAACAGTAGTATTTACGGATCATATAAATATATGTAAAGTTTAATTGGTATTGGAGCCTGAAAATGGTCTCATAGCTTTATAACGGTCAACATCCGACCAATGCAATATACTCAACTTTATTGTGGTCTCGGCCGTTCTGGAGTGTTGACTGCTCTTCTTTTGTGTTACTACTATTTATATTATCAACGTCAATCTTGATGCTTATATTTTTGTACTTTCAAATTAAATGCATAATGACATATATTCAACTTAATAGTGTAGCAAATAATGACTATTATACTTATGTAAGTCTAAATCGATAGACTTGTACAAATAAATAACTATACAACAGTGTCTTAATACACAGACCAATCTCCATCTGCTTGCATATCAAGGTTCCAGTGCCTCAACATGCAGACTAACCTCATACAAGTCGGTTATGTTTTTCTGTGAGGATATCTGATCCCTTATAAACGTTTCGATTGGAGGAACACGATTCAGCCGGTAAGTAACGTTTTGATATGAAGTCATCTGCCGAACTATCTCGGCTACTTTCATACGTTTGGAAAAGTTGATCAGATTTGTCTTCTTAAGCGTATCCGGGCTACTACCAGCAATAAAGTCCAAATCCGTAAGATGAACAGCTAAAGCGAGAGAGAAATTCAGCATGTGCCGGATGGTACTGTGCTTGTCATTCATAACATAAACCTTCGCTCTTTCATCTTACCTAAGAATGGCACAACTGGAGGATTGACACTGTGCAATTTTTCCCGATATCTCACAAAGTTCCTTGATGGTGCCACACTCTGCGTCAATTTTTCCAACGTTTGTACTGACTTGTTGTTGACATGTTCCCAAGTCTTTTTCAAACGATGAATAGGAGCTGAATTTAAGGCCATTACAATAGCAGCCATCGAATTCAAATTGTTCAATTGCCAACATGCATCCGCAACGGCTATGTGATGTTTTATCCAGTTACCGCGAACCTTGGGCTCTTGCTGCTGGAGAATTGATCCTACCGTCCAGAATGCAATCTGCAAAGGAAATAGTGTATGATAATAGAGAATATATTAGATGGATACCAACGTATTATAGATTAAAATTCACATCTACACTCTCAACTTACCTGGTTGCTAAAATTAATCACAACACTAACACTCCCTTCAGTTTGAGAGCTGTTGCTACCGTCGCCATCATTATTATCATCACCATCATTACTATCATCATTACCATTATTATTATTGTTACTATTACCGCTGTTACTATTATTATCATTAGTACTACTGCTATTACTGTTACAATTACTGCTGCTGTTATTATGATTATTGTCATTAGTAACGCTAATACTGCTATTAGTACTACTACTATTACTGTTACTTGCATCATCATTACTCTTCTGCCAGACTCGTCGTATCCATTCATCAGATCCAATTTGACCGAAAAGATGACTATCAATGAGGGTCAACTGTCTCGCTAGTTCAATTGGTTCGATCTCGAGAAACTCCAATTTCTTCATCCGTTTGGGCAACATTGGGGTTGGTGGTTGAATAGAATCGTTTGGAACCAAATCTTTGGGTTTGTCTTTCGGTTGCTTTTGCTAACAGAGAATGTAAAATTACATAGTTTCAATTAATTCGATCTCTAGACAATAATTGTTACAAAGAAACATCCCGCCCTCCCCTTCTCCATTCATTACCCCAGCCAGACTACACGTACCTTTCTCTCGATCATCTGCAAGAGACAGTTTCCAGCAAATTTCATATGAGCAAGCATAACGTCTCTAACAAAATCTTGCAACTGCGCAAGACATTCTAAATCTTCCTGATCGCGATAATAATGCCCTAACCATGTCTTCATTATATTAAATACTCTCAGCCTAATCGGCGTCTGCTTTTTCTCCTGCCACACTTCTAATTCGTCAGCAGTTAGTCCATAAGGTGAGGAAATCATAAACCTTTTCGTTAGGAGTTCAAGAAACTCTCTCGTTGTTGTAAACGTTCTATACGTTAACAGGAATGTCAATGTGATATTTGAATCGTGTACATCATGGACGGTGAGTAGTTCTATGAGAGCGTTTAATGAAGCACCCTTTACACATCCTTCAAACGAGAATACTATTTCTGATGGGTGATAATCATAGTCTAAGTAACTTGGCCCATCACCCCGTTGACGGCCGATAGTTGGCGGAAGAGGAATATCGGTAGAGGAAATCGACGAACGGCTTATGTGATGCGATGGGCGGCCCGGATAAGGTGGGCAGCGTGCATTCGAGCGAGTGGAGTTGACAGGAGATGAATAAGACTGAATGAAAGCGCGAGATAAATGTTAGCGAGAATTAATGATCAAAGTCTATGGTGTGCATCAAGTATCGAGCATTATGAGAAGTTGATCATCTCAAAAAGGAAAGAGGATATATTTATTTTCAAACTTGTTCATTCATCAATCCTTTCAATTCTCTTACCTCAATGTCACTAACTACCGCCACAAATCTGCTCGGGAAACCCCCCTGCATTCCATTGTGTAGTCCTTCCCACCACCCATTCTCCGACTGCGATAGTACTTGTATCAAATCATCCCTTTTAAATATCAATGCAGTCGGGTCGCTTGAGCTAAAGTCATATAATGCTCGAACGAAAAGGAGCGGTGTGGCCATTCGAATTAGATGAATTTAGTAGAATGATATGAGATAAGCGTAAAGAAAGGGAGGGAGAATTGGTTGGATAGCAAAAATGGGAAAGAGTATAATATTACCACTAGGGTAAAAATGATTAGGTTGAAGGAAAAATGTTATAACGTTTAGTCGGGAATGGGATGACAACATTTGTCGTACAGTCTTCTAATTGGCATGTCTGCGGGGGGTGTTTGACTGATAGATGAACGAATGAATTTGCAAGGGGGAAGCGCGAGGAAGAAAGCATGGTGAAGACGAATAGTTGTCATGGTAATGTGTTATGGATGAACTATTTTAGAGTGAAACTTGCCATTTACATGCTAACGAATTGACTGAACAAAATGGAAAGGCTCGTATGTCAGAAACGTTTGCAGTCTGGAAAGACTGTCTTTTCAGCAAGTCTGTATTCTTGATTCGAAGCGAGCGTTCTTTAGAGCAGAACCTTATTGGTACAAAATGTCAGATATGCAGATGTTAAAATTAAGATTTGACGGAACTGCTTTTTTCGGTACGACTGTCGAATTCTTGTGTATAAACAAACCGGATTCCCCGCAAATTACTACGCCGAATGAAACCAGAAAAAGGCAAATCTTTCATACAAATAGTTCGCAATCACATCAACAGGAATGTGCATTCGGTACGGATGATCCATAATGTAAATTATTCCGAATAAGGTAACATCTGTCACTCGGTCCTTATTATATTTTGTGTTGTGTCACTACCTAATAACGCCTTACTAATCACGACTATCGGGACTGCCCCCGAACAGATTGAGATGTATTTTATCCGATACTTGTTGGTTTCCATACTTTGGCCGTTCCATCGACACTCGTACTTATCACTAGTGGTTTTCTAGGATGATATGCGACGCTTGTCACTATTTTATCGTGGGCTTTGACCTTAGTCAACAATGTTGCCTAAAGCACGAACATGCGAATAAAAGTCAGCACAATGCATTGTCAAGTCAATTATTATTATCCCTATTCTTATACGCACTTCAACCAAGTCCCAGAAGTATATATTTCCATCTTCACTGCCGCTTATGACTTGTGAATCGTCAGTCGATAAGCATGAAGTAATTTTGTATGTTGTATTCTGATGACCGCGAAACCTGTAAAATACACGTGAGGACTGTCAGATGGATAACAATATCACATTGAATAGTCATAGTAATGTAACAGTTAGCATTAGTATCAACGTTGTAAAACTCACGAATTCAATAGGCCGCCGTTATCTTTATCCATTAGACGTATTACGCCATCCAGCGAGCTGACTAGAATGCAATTACCATCTCCGGAAAAGCGAACTGACGTTATCGGATCTAATACAAAGTCATTCGTTGACAATTAGCATTACTCGTTGTTCAATGTTCAAACAATCTATCTATAACTCACTGTACCCACGTGATATCAAATCAACGGTCAGCGAGCCCATTCGAAGATCATATACTCTTATATTCCCGTCTACAGATCTTGTATGAATATTGTCAGCCAATATATCATAATAAAAATAGCACGCAACATTATCCATATATGTTACCCAGTCAGTATCTCGTATTGTGATACTTGTAATGACATCACACCATCCTTTGCTTCCTCCAGGATTTGAATTGGAAAACGATTATTGGATCTGATGCAAAATAAAAAGGTAATAAGGGAATTGTGATATGTGTGCGAATGTCGGATGCAAAGAATGAATAAACGTCCGAGATAAATACTACCTACAGTCCCATATTCTTACCGTTGTATCATACGATCCTACATTATGATAACGCTAGATGTAAAGATGCCAAGTAAAACCGTCCAAAGTATTTCCATACCACTCACCACTCACAAGAACAGTTCCTTCTGCATTGAATGCAACAGCATTAATACGCTGGTCAAGTTATATGACGATGAATTATTCGTTATTAGATTATATTGTTAAACGTTTGTTAGATCATCTCTTTCAAACATACCTGACCATGTCCATCGAATCTTCTTATCGTTCTTCCAGTGCCGACATCCCATAAAAACACTTGTTTGTCGCTTCCACATGAAGCAAATCTTGAATTGTCATGGGCACTTGTGTAAATAGCTGTATTAGTTAAGCTGGGGGTGATTATACGTCCATAATGACTCGGATAAGGTACACACACGCATATTCCAAGTACTTCTTTTCCGTGTCCTTCATAAGTCTTGATTGAAAATCCGGCTTCTGGATTCCATAGTTTGATTGTTCTATCATGACTTCCTGATAGCGCATATTCTCCTGTTGAGTTGAAAGTGACATAATTTACCGGCGCCGAGTGACCTTTGAATGTTATAGCACACGACTCGGGAATGGGAAGCATCGAAGTAGACATTTTTGTGACAGTGAGCATGTTTATTCTGCACGACTTTAAAAATGAACGCCACAAAATTTCAGGGGCTGAATTGTGCCGACGCCACAGTAGCGATACTCGATAATAATAAGACAATGTCGGAATGGTTTAAGCTACAGAGATTTTATTTTATCGAGGATTATATGGTATACTGCGGCGTCAACACAAATTGCTGCTATTTATTGGGACTGTTTGCGTGTTTCAATTACTTGACAAGATTAATTGAAATATTCTCTGCAAGTTCCTGATTTTGATATAAGCGCGTATTGTCTTCTTTGTAATCCCGTTAATATTCGGAGTTTTTATTTTGCACTACCAGATAATGAATTAGATATATTCTTAATAGAAGGACTGGCAGTGGTATTCATGGTTTTCGAATCAAGAATTAAATAAATCTTTCATGAATCGAGGTATTCGACTTACATTTGTTAGAAGCGTGAGAGAATTCTCTTTACGGTTTCTAATAAAATTTATATTATTAATTATGGAGGTATTTTTAATGCAAAAAATTCGGGGCAGAAAATTTCTTTATTTTAGAGTAATTTTATCTTTTATTTTGTCGAGTTTGACTATGTATTAAAGTATCACATCATAATTAGCTAATAACGCAAGGTATCAGTGAAAACGTGACTTTACTACAGAGATATTGCAACCTAAATTGCTGATCTATCAAAAACCCGAAACTTTGCTTTTTTGATCGCTTCGTAAAAAAAAATCTGCTTTTTCCATTTCCTTGATTTGTCGAAATGGCATTTCCCCACTTGATGGCTAAATTTACTAATTATACCGACTTACACGCTATAACGCTGTTGCATGCCATCGCTGCTATATTTTGCTGCGACTTCACCTAACATCTTTTATATCTAATTTTTACGCATTTTTACTCAAGATAAAATTTTTTTTTTCATTATTAAATATTCTCATTGAATAAAATAACCCCCTTCTTTTAATTTCCATGTGCGTCTGTCGTGTTTTTGTTTTTATTATTCATAAAAGACCCAATTCCTTATTTCTCATATTTGAGTACTGTACATCCATATTTCTTATTTGCTTGTGTTTATGTTGTCCTTTTTTATTAGTATTAATTTTTATTTAAACACAGAAGCAACTGTTATATACGGCCTTGTGCGAGTACCTCTTTCAATCATATTACAGTATTACCCATAAAAAGTATTCCTTCAGCCTTTATTTTCTAAATTACACAAAGTAGACGGTGATCGCATCTGGTATCACATGATTGTTTCCATGCATTTACTCTATTGATAATCCGTAAATTTTCTCGCTATTTTCTTGATAAACGTATTGCTATTCGTTTTCAGGATCCGTATTATAACATCGACAATCACTTCGTAGACGTTATATTTCGATAACAGCCGTTACCGATTTCACGAGTCATTTTATAATCTCATTATCTACCAGTCCAGCTGTTCCTCTTCTTCAATCTATCAACTCATTTTAGAATCTGGTTTTTTATTAAAGATTTTGATGTTATTCAGTATTGAGTGTAAAATAAAGACTATTGACGTATTGATAGTAATAGAAAGATTCTATTTCAACCCGATGAAAACCGTGATAAAGTAAATAACGGCAGCCATTATGAAATTGTAAAACAAAGTTTGAGACAAAGAATAAAATATCAATTTGTAAACGGGCAATGAAATCAACTGACTGTTGTGTCGGCGAAATGATGAAATGACCTGTTGGCGATTGTCGATAACAAAAAAAAAGATAATTTAGTTTCTCAGAGATGTGTATATAAAGGTGCAAACAAAAAATGTTACATCAAAGCTTGAAAGTAGTAGTCTGTATGACAAAATTTTAATGGTCGAATCTATTTTCCTCATGTAATTAGTCGTACGCCTTATTTTACAAACGCAAGAATATATAGTCTCAACTCGTTAATCTTTTTAAGCGTACTGTATTCTTTCTACACTATGTTGAACAATAGACCACACGTTTTAATAGGATTGAGGTCCATCAATGGACATTTTCTTTAATATTAAGAAAATCTGTACAATATGACTGATGTGTTTGAGGGTCGTTACTCTTGTTGAAATCTCCAGCTGTCCTTAACATTGTTGAATTTTTTAACTTGTGTTTATGACAGTCATAATATTACAAGCTTGGTAACTCTACATGTATTCTATAATAGTAATGTAGAATTATTTTTTTTTGTTTTTTTGTTTATTTCTGGCGCGTTTATTCTAGATCAAAATTTTTTGCAAACATCATGTTTTGGTGAATTCAATTCAATTTGATATATATTATTATAAACAATCAATAGTAATAGTTGACATGGCTCAATTCATTGATTATCATCTTTCTATACGCACTAGATATAATGATAAACATTAACTCTCTTTCATTAACGCCATCGGCATTAGCCTTCTTCATGTTGGTTAAATGCTCGCCACGAAGGAAAACATAGTGAACCCACTACGTTATGAGCCGACAGAAAGACTCGCCCAGTTTTGATACAAATAATATTATTAACACAATATCTTTAACTCCTGTTCGAACATCAGGTCTTCTCAGGAATAGCATCGCTCTTCTTTATTAAATATGTCTTCTTAACAAACTGTATCGCTCCGTTGTACTAAACGTGAACTTTCTTTGTGAGTAATATCTGTTTCCAGCGAACGAGATGTAACGTATATTCTTCTTCACCCACTCTCGTTACGAGGGATTTGAAGAGGATTTAGAAATTGCATTTATTATCCTTTCGTTCGAACGAATCAGTTTCAATAATGGATCTCTTGACAATAAGCTAACAAAGCTTTATAACAATGATGTGTCGATCAGTCGATCAGGGATGTTATGCAGGGTAAATCATGTTTATTTACAATTACAGTCCACCCTCCATATATGCACGGCAAGTCTTATTCCCAAGCTCGGGAGTTAGTAAAATATATGCACACCCTCTATATTCTGCATTGCACGGTTTTGTTCACTTTCCGCTATATGAAATCCACCCTCTCTATATGCACCCCCGTGATTTCATGTGATTTTGTACAACAAATGATAATTACCATTACACGAGATATCTAAACAAAGTAAAGATCTTACAAAGAATGTGATTTGTAATACTTACATATTGCGTTGTCTTGTCAAAATTGCTTGTTTAACACAGTCTTTATCATTTCTTTATTTAATATTAGTTCGTTCCTTTTGCAACAGCAAGAGGATTCTAAGGAGTTACCTAAACATGTTAATGCTCTTGATCACTACATTGGTTTAAAGCAAAGAAACAAACAACCATAGACAAAAATAGTAAACAGTTATTTTAATTTTGCTTTCATTATCGATGAATAAATAAAATATATATCACGTGCAATCAATAAGATACTGACTCTCCATATATGCACGCTCCAGCAGGGTGTGCATATATGTCAAGTTTTTTATTCTAACTACCGCAGTATTATTAATCCAATAAAATGTTGGATTAGATTTCTACTAAAATGATCTACACTGGACAAAAATCACTGTGATTTTTGTCAATCAATTAGTAAAACATATGAAAAATCTTTTTCTTCAAAGAGCTCTACTGGCTGTATCTACTATGTAAGTCACAATGATTTTTGTACCGATTTGAAGATAATTGATTGTACTTTTCGAGAAAAATAATGATATGATTAGTCATGTTATTATTCCGAAGCTACATCTCGATGAAGTGGCAGTGACTATGTTACACATATGAAAATCTATGAAAATCTATGAAAAACATATGTGTAACATAGATACCACCACTTCATTGAGATGTAGCTTCGGAATAATAACATGACTAATCATATCATTATTTTTCTCAGAAAATACAACAAATTATCTTCAAATCGGTACAAAAATCATTGTGACTTACATAGTAGATACGGCCAGTAGAGGTTTTCGAAAAAATAGATCTTTCATATGTTTTACTAATTGATCGACAAAATTTACGTAGACTTTTGT